CTCTGAGGTATGCCTGTATTTCTCCTGTGTAAAGACTGTAGAAAAAGTCTCTAGAGTCTCTGTTATGCAGAAAGTTATTCTGAACACAGACACTTTTGGTTAAAATATACACATGAATATGTCAAGTGGATTAAGAAATAGAAAAATATCTCATATTTCCTAATTATGAAGTATTACTTGTCACTCTGATATAACCTCCAATTACCTAGAATACTGAGAGTTGTATTAATAGTATATTTTTGTTGTGAGGATTAACCAGAAAAGGAAGATGTGTATGTTACTGTGTATATATATTCCATTACATTCCAGAACTCATAACAACCAGAAACTATTCTACATGATCTTAAAGTCATGCTCTACTACATTCTGCTAACACTAAACTACACACATCAAAGACATTTCATCTCCGTAAGTATGTAATTAAATATAGAAATCTCTATCTCTAGATAAACAGTGTCTCCTTGCCCCTTTTGCTCTCTCCTTGGGATGTAAATTAGGGAATTCAAAGGAGGTAGAAGGAATTGAACAACAAGTTGCTGAGCCTTAATGAGCTGCTGTGACAGGGCAGCTGTTTGCTTGGCCTTTCGTGGGTCTTCTACTTGAGACACACTGGCCATGCTCTATAACACTGATAGTCACTGGATTGTCTGTCCCCTTGGGAACAACTCCTCAGAGGTAAACTAGAAAGCTATCTAAACTCTGCTACTATATTTTTCTGACATAATAAGCATAACTTATTGAACAGATATAAATCTTTGATGAACTTACGGTGCTTCAAAGTCATTATTTTGACATCAGTAAGTCTTATAGACAGTGAACTGCAGGAGATTAGACAGATGCTGTATTGACCAAAGAAAATACCCTGGAGTTTGCTTTTTGACTAAATCTTTGATACACATTAGCTTTATTTTTATTTGACTCTTATTTTCAGAAGTGAGACACAGCCCAAAGAAACACAAAATACCAACCATTAGGATGCTTTTGAGAAAAAACTAGGTCCTCGATAGGGTTACATCTACTCTATAAGTAAAACTTCACAGGAGGAAACCATAGAATCATAGAAGTAGAAGGAATATTTAAGACCAACTGGGCAAATTTCCTCCCTTATAGCTAAGGAAAATGAGGTTAAGTGGGGTGTAGTGACTCACCCAAAGGCATGTGGCCAGTTAGTCCTCAGCTCTTGACTGTGCATGTCATCGAAGGTGATTTTTAGTGTTTAGTTGCTACCCTTAACTTTAAAAATACAAGTGAATGATATATTCTTCATATAAGTTCATGGAGCATCGGTGAAATCTCTAGAAAAAGAGGAAAATTATCAAGAAAACTGCTAAATTTAATACAGAACAGGACACCAAAATTTCACTTACAGACAACTTTTCATTCCCTATAGCCTCACAATGATACAATAAACTGTGGCAAAAACTGGCATATTTGAAGTTGTGTTCACTTGTCCAGGTTGTCAGGATACCACTCAGCAGGCTTTAACTAGTAGTTTTGTAGCCACCAACCAAAAAATTTTACTAGTTCCCCAAATGTCTCATAGTCTAAAGAAATCTGCCTGTTTTATAAAAATACCATAAACCCTCTTGTCATTATTTAAAACTAAAGTTCAAATGGGATCTTCAAAGATACTGTGCTTGAATTAAAATAATATAAAATCATGTTTAAAATCATTTTAATAATATTTTAGAAATAAATCTAAACATTTGTTCATATAAAAGAAATACAGAATGTTTTTAATTTAAAGCCATCTCCACCATCCCCAGTAACTCCGTTGTATGAGAGTCTAATTTGCTAATTAGACTGATGATACCTGTCTTCATTGTGAGTTATGGGCAATTAGAAATTACAACTGAACTACTAAACGAGAATGGACCCTTCACAAGGGCAGTCAACCAGATCATTATTCTGAGGCAAAGCAACCTAATGATTACTGCAAAGTTCAAACTGAAAGAATTGATTTGAACAATAAGATGACTCTATTTGGGGTCAAACCCTTTGTGCTTTATGGATACCATACTATTCTTTTAGCACATTAAAATCGGTTTTGATCAAAGAAAAATCCACAGAGTCAGATAATGTGCCTAGAGGGAAAGGAGACATGCAGAGATAGTGCCCCCTACTCTGCCCCACCCCCACTAAATTCCAGAGAATTTCATATAAATTAAAAAGTAGGGAAAGTCCATACTCCCAGGTAATAACCCTTTCATACGCAGCTACAGAGAATGAGTCCTCCTCGCCCCAGGAGGCCCCTATTAGTCCTAGGGGTCAGGGAGGAAAGAAGTAACTGCAGCCCAGACCGCCAAGACCAAGACCAAATTCACAGTGGTACTTGCCAAAGACGAGGAAGGCTTCATGAAAGAACACAAATGAACACTGTTTTGGTGGGTTTAACAAATGTTCACTTCTTTCATCCCCAGTGACCATTGTGACACAATTTCCAGAAGACACTATGTTTCTGCGGTCCATATAACTGGTTTACAAAAAAACTTCTAGAATGACACTTGTTTGTACTTTGGAGATACGGAAGGATTTCAGTGCCTGAATAAATTACAGTAATGAGATATGGCGTGTCTTCTTAAGCATTTATTACTATGAAAAACCCTGACCAAACACAGGCCTCTCAAAAGTAGCATATAGAGAGCTCTGGGATCGATCACTTGCCACTTACTCCTTGCCTTTGATTGCAAAACTGGGTGCAGGTTCCTGCTTTACTTCCCTAACAGGTTAGTACAATCTGGTCTTATTCACAGGTGGCACTGTGTTGTGCCATCCTTTGGAATTTTTCTCTGCAGCTTGCACAGAGAGGAGCAGGGGAGAGAAAGCAAAGAGGAGAGTGGGGGGCAGAAGTTAGTCCCTTTGCACGGCACACCTGTCTTAAAGAGACAGAGATGCTTTGGAGTCAGCCTTTTGGTTGAAAAGCTATGTTACTGCCGTCACGTTTTATGTGTTCATTTATTGCTAGCCAAAACCTTTCACTCTTTAAATTTTCAATAAATAGAATATGATGAATTATCAAAATCTCACCAAGAAACAAAAATCCTATGTTTTTCATCTTTCAGACTGAGCATTCAAAGGCATTTCTTCAGCTGGAAATGCTGTTCTTTCTCTTCATAAGTACAGGCAACTTAGGAGGTTTCCAATTGACTTAGTGAATGTTTACTGAATGAGCACCGTGAGGTCTCTAACCAAAAGCTGGACCCTCTACCACACTCTAAGTGGAGAAAATCCCCTGATTCCCTTCATAGGTAAAGAAATTCAGGCCAGGAGAATTTACATGACCTATTCATATATTTCACTGATACTGACCTAGTACCCACTTAGGTCTATTCTGACTTCAAATCTGTAATCTTTGCATTTGGTAGTCTGATCTCCATACCTCTGTTCATTACAGGAAGAACAAAATAGAAGGGAACCTATTTTGTGCTAAAACACTTGTTAAAGATCCTACCAATATTCTTTTATAGCAAAAATTAGAAAACTAAGTAGTTTTTTACTTGATACATTTGTAAAGCATAGTTATGGGCAGTCAGAAAAAAAGGAAATTGAGCGTTTGGTTTTTTTGTTTTTTTTGGGTTTTTTGAGAGAGAGAGAGAGAGAGAGCACATGCATGTAGGTGCACAACAGAGGCAAGAGAAGAGGGAGAGGGAGAGAGAGAATCTCAAACAGGCTCCAAGCTCAGTGATTTGCTTAATGCGAGGCTTGATCTCAGGACCCTGAGATCATGATCTGAACCAAAATCAGGAGTAGGACATTTAACCAACTGAGTCACACAGATGCCCTGGAAATTGAGATTTAAAAAAAAATACTACATAAATGAGAAGAAATAAAAATAAAAATTTATGCGTAGAGAAATTCCAATATGAGTAATTCTGAAATCTGTTAAATTGGATTACAGGGAAGGGAATCATAAATCCTTATGTGAATCCCTATTGCTACAGATCATAGAAGGAGATTTAATAATAATATTGCTTTTGATTGCACACATGCAGGGAAAGTTTGAAAGTGGAACTACAGAACATATTGCATACTAAGATTCTGTTTCTATGAATATTAGATATGACTTGTTAGAAACTCTAGCAAAGCCCTCCTAATGTTTTAGGTACCAAAGAGTAAAAGCATAGGATATAAGTTATATGAGTACATATTCCACAGAAAGACATCAAACACACTTACTTGGCATTAAAGATCTAAGATATTAATGCATTTTACAACAGCCAGGAGGAAATGTTTTTGCTCTGTAAATAAGCTCTCTGATTTGATTTGGTTCCTACAGTTTGTTTTTAATTAGGCAAAGAGACATTTTTAAAATTTTTGTTTTCTAACCTTAAATAGCTAAGTTCAAAATGATTGTGTAGTATCTATCTACCTTCTCCTTTTCCTGTCTAATTTTAACAGCAAGTCAGTCCTTTTTACACTTCCAATCAGAAGATGCTAAACTTCTTTATTAGTTTCCTTTTACCCTGGGAGCAGAAGGAGTGGGGGAGAGAATCTGTTTGGTTCTTGTTGATTTGAGAGAGATAATTTTTTCTGGTGGTTTTATATGCATTATTTTCAAAACACAGAAATAGGTATGGCTTTGCTGGAAAGAGCCCTCTTGTTGAAAAGAACCCATATGCTGGAATGTTCATCTGAGTTTACACAGCAGGAACCAGCGGGCCAATGCTCATTGTGGCAAATGCTGGCCAGGATTAAGCATGGTGGCAGCTGGTCGACAGTTGGCACATGGTACAGCTCTCGTGGGTCTCTGTCTTCTACAGTGTTGAAACAAAGGGCAGTATTTGCAGTTTATGAAGCCTTTTGGAAAGCATAAAGTAAAAGAAAAAAACCCTCTGGACATAAAATCTTATTAGCGTCTTCGCTCGAGATGAGGAGAGGAGAAAAATGGACGTAAGCTTGGATTCATCATTCACATACACTTAATGCATAAACACCCACGGATAATTCTGTTGCAATTAATGTTTTATGTTCTTTCTCTACACTCTCTTCTTCGTTCCTAGAACACTTGAAGGATAAGTTAGAAGAATATATGGCCCGATTTTCCAAAGTCAGGATTGTTCGCACCAAGAAAAGGGAAGGGCTCATCCGGACCCGCCTCTTGGGGGCATCTATGGCCAGAGGAGAAGTCTTGACGTTCCTGGACTCCCACTGTGAAGTCAATGTGAACTGGCTGCCCCCACTCCTTAGTGAGTACGCATACTAATGGTGGCCTTCTGGGGACCAGGGGGCCCTGGGGAATCACCCTCCTTCATAGGGAGTTTGTGGCTTGCTTCTGTTCAGATTGCAATCAACAAAGACTAGAGATCCCTTCTACCATTTTTACAGTGAGAGCCTTGACTCTGTCTTAACCTCGGCTAAGGACAAGTAGGTAACTAGACAACTACATTAAAATTGACATTTTAGCTACTACCAACTGTAATCTAACTTAAGGCTTGAAAAAGTTTCATTTAGTTTAAACTAACTAAATTCTCCTTTATTGTTCTTATAATCATTAGGTAAATAATAAAAGAAAAAAAGTGTTTTTAAAAAGATTTTATTTATTTATTCATGAGAGACACAGAGAGAGAGGCAGAGACATAGGCAGAGGGAGAAAGAGGTTCCCCTCAGGGAGTCTAATGTGGGACTCAATCCCAGGACCCTGGGGTCACAATCTGAGCCAAAGGTAGATGCCAAACCATTGAGCCATGCAGCAGCCCCAGAAAAAAAATATTTAAAAGCTCTAGTTCTAATTACAGTAAGATTAAAACACACTCACTCACCACACACACAGAGCTTAACAATGATTATAGAACTGTTAAGAAATGAGGAAAGAAAATTATTCACCCCTAGAATACAATTCAAGTGTAAGTGCTCTGACATTTTCTAGGATTTGTAATGCCAGTTCTCCTAGCCACTTCTGGCATGGCTCTGGGGCCCTAAATATATAATCTCCCAAGTTTACGTAGGACCCCCTCAAATACTCCAAGCTACTATCCAGATGACACATCTCACATACTCACAATATGGCTGAAGAGTAGAGAAAGAAGAAGCCTCTCTATCGCATCACAGTTGAACTGTTAGAAACATGAAAGAAGTAAAAGTCATTCAAGCTAGAAAACACACATGTGGCTCAGTTGGAGCTTGACTCTTCAGTTTTTTACTTCACAATGAAGTCAGACATAAAGTCCAGTAGTGGACGAGGAATAAATTACAAGCTTGGAAAAAAAAAATATGTTTCTAAAAAGCTCTTGGTGTGCACATACCGTATGACTCTTTATTCTTTTAGATTTCGCTAAATCAACTTTTATTGTAAATATATCCCTGGCCTTGGAGCTAAAGCCAGTAAAAACTGCCTTTACAATAAGCTGCCTCAGAAAGAATGATTTGCTATTGACTACTGTGTAGGATTTCAGCTGGAACCAGCAAAGCTCCATTAGTAAAAGATGTGGGGGGGAAATCAATTGAAACTGTGTAGGATTTAAGACAGGAAATGACCAGCAACACCCCACCGCATCACCAGATCCACACATACCTACACAGATGACTGCCCAGCCATCGTAATCAACAGGAATGTCTCAGTGCTCCTCCGGCCAGAGATTCCTCTGAGCTTTTAATTAAAAGTACCTTGTCCAAGGACATAGCAATTTAGAGTTTCATCAGCAACAGTGAGATTCCTGCAAACTGAATTTGACCTCTATGCTGTTGAATACTCAAGGAAGTCAGCAAAAGGCCTAATTTATTTATGAACCAAAGCAATTCCTAAATGCCAATTATCAAGCCTCTGATTGTTCATATGAATCCAACAGGAAAAGAGAGAGAGAGAGAGAGCAAAAATAAAGAGAAACCCACTTTTTCTCATTAAAACATTTCATTTCCTGTAGGCCTGATGGATAAGAAATGATTCAAGCTCAGGATCACTATCTTTTTTTATTTTCCTCTATCAGTGCCTTGACACATCATCCAAAATGAAAGAACAGGCGGAGCCACACAGTTTCTTGGTTCATTTTTCACCTTGGGATTATACCTGAATTTCAATTTCCCATTAAGAGTCTGTTTGTTTGATCCCTGGAAATTGAAATGTAGGCACAAGCCTTAGATGAAAAATTAGTCATGCTGCTTTCACCCTAAGCTAGAACAGCTGGATGAGAGCTGAAAGGAAATTTGAAGGGAAAGTTGACAGTTAATTTAACATACTCATTCTCTTTGGGTCACCTTGGGACTCCTTGTTGGTCAAGGAACTTGTAAATCAACCTGATTCTGAATTTGATTGAAGAAAGTCACTGAAACCTTAATATTAAAACACGTGCAGAGAGATTTTGAACACCGCAATGATGGCCCCCTCTGCCAAAGACATCTATGGGGAAACACCATTTAGATAAAGATTAAAACCCATTATAAGACTTACTCAGGCGAAAATGGATGCTCACAGGGTGCTTGGTGAAGAATCACCTGAAATAGTGCTGGGGCTCTCCCTGTCTACAAGTTAGCTGAAATAATATTAAGGCAACCTCCAGGCTCTCAGAGGCCCTGGGGCCATGCTGTTTACCTTGCCACATACCAGCATTTTATATTCCCCTTACCCTGTTTAATCTTTTTTCTATCACATTTGTCACCTCCGAACGTGCTATATAATTTAAAGATTTATTATGTATATTGATGGTCTTTGCTCTACTGCTAAAGACAGAGATTTTTGTGGTTGTTACTCATTGATATGTTCCCAGAACCTAGAAAAGTGGCAGGCATATAATTTCTATTCAATAAATAGTTGTTGAATTAGGAAGGACGGAAGGAAGGAAGGAAGGAAGGAAGGAAGGAAGGAAGGAAGGAAGGAAGGAAAGGAAAGGAAAGGATATATAAATATGGAGGGGAGACCTTCTACAGAATTCTGTGGTTTCTCCACCCTGTCTTATCAGCGTCACCAAAATAATACTAAGATAACCAAACCTCATTATTTCTAAAAAATATGTTTTTAAGATATTTGAATGTATTTTATTCTGCATGCCACATCAGAGTGTCCAAATAACCAGAAAACAGATGTTCATACTTAAGTTCTGTCAGACAATATGCTTGTTATAATAAATATCAATTGAGTGCACATTCTTGGGAAGAAAGTACAGTTGGCCCCTTAAACTACCCAGAGATTAGGAGCACCAACACCCCATACAGTCAAATATTCATGTGTAACTTTGGACCCCACCCAAAACTTCACTACCAATAGCCTAGTGTTGACCAGAAGCCTTACCAATCACATAAAGAGTCAATTGATCCTTATTGTGTATGGTATATGTATTATATACCCCACTCTTACAACAAAGTAAATTAGAAAACAATGTTCTTAAGAAAATCATAAAGAAGAGAAAATACATGTATAGCACTGTACTCCATCAGAAAAAGATATATATTTATAAGGGACCTGCGAAGTTCAAATTTGTGTTGTTCAATAGTCAACTGTATGTCACATGTAGCTGTTCTGGGAGACCCAAAGTAGGTAAACGCCAATTCCCTGTGCTATTAAAATCTCACAGTAATAATATTTACATGGAAAAGGAAGGAGCTGGAACCAGAAAAGATATCCCATGAGAAGTACCATGATGGAGAGCTAACTGATTTCAGGATTGGACCGTGAAGTAGTTGTCACATCCTGGGTTTTGCTCTCGAAAGATGAGTGACCTTCAACAAGTTATTTCACTTATCTGAGCTCAGTAACCTCGTATGTAAATTGACAATGACAGTAGCAGCCACCTTACAGGGTTGCTAGGAGGATTAGAAATAGCAAGAGTATAAAGCACTTAGCAGTTGCTCAAGAATTGAGTAGTAGCAGGAATAGTAAGAGTAGTATCAGGCCATCTAATATGTTTTGGGATAGAATGAGGAAAGATAAAAATGTATAGCTTTGATAAACAGAGTCTGTATCAAAGGAAAATGGCAAAAGAGAACTTGGCAAACTCTCTGTTAATCCTGAGAGCAAAGAATTCTGTGTGTGATGTGTCAGCATTTAGCAAGAGAGCAGCCATCATGACCATTATAAGATTAGATACTAAAAAACAACAACAAAAAAAAACCACACATGAAATTAAATATTTACATTTTGGAACCTCCAGAAAGCAGGATAATATTTTCTCAGAAGCTCCTGCTATATGCTTGAAGGAACACAAGTACTGTTTATACTCCACACATATTGGATGCACTATAAAATGACAGATTGGGGACAGGTCAGAGCAAAAATGTGACAGAGGTAGCGCTAAATGGACTTCTGCAAGTCTCTCTGGGACATAACTTTCTTAAAGGAAAATACAACAGCGCTAATTGTACCTAATCACTGTCCCATCATGTTAAATCCAGGCTTGGAACAGATTTCACAAAGTGCTCTAACAACAGGAAGCCAGGCTACAAACATCATCCCTGCATTAGGAAGGATCTGTAGGATTCTCTTTGCTGAAAAATGATAGATGGCCTAAGCAGGCATGTCATTTCCTATTTTGTGCTTTCATTTTTCAGACCAAATTGCACTAAACCACAAAACCATCGTGTGCCCCATGATCGATGTCATTGACCACAATCATTTTGGGTATGAGGCACAAGCTGGGGATGCCATGCGAGGCGCCTTCGACTGGGAAATGTACTACAAAAGAATCCCCATCCCTCCAGAGCTCCAGAGGGCAGATCCCAGCGACCCTTTTGAGTGAGTAGTGGCTGAGGGAGGGGCCATGGGAGAGAGGGCAGGTAATCCATTTCAGACATGTCAACTTGATACCTGTGAGGACAATTATCTCTAATAAAATGGATGAAAACAGGTGGCGACAATATCCACACCTTGGAGAAAAGTCAGACCTACAAGTTGTAGCAAATTACAAGCTGCGCTGAATACATGGATCACCCCTTGTCAAACTTTGCTAGGCATCAGACGAAGTGTGCCTCTATGAGACTCAGGAAAATGCAGAGTTCACTGAAAATGCGTATTCCCTATGTAGATACTCTCCCAGAATCCTCTCCTTCTCTTCAGTTCTATTCTTTTGCCTTTTCCCTAAAGAATCATTTAAATTAACTATTTTACTTCATGTTTATTGGAAAATTATATAAATACGCAGCAGTGTTTAAGCCTCTGTTTACACTCTGTTGGGAATTAAAAGGGAAAGCAGTCCTTTTGAGTAGGTGCTCTCATACCTTAAACTTGGGCAATTCGATCAAAATGATATATCCAATGTAATCATTGATAACCTGCCATTAATTTAAGTTCTATATAGATAAGAATCTCCAATAATCTATTGGTTTCTACAAAGTTAAGTCCTTTTTTTTCCAGTGTGGACATGAGAATTATGCATGTCAAGAAAAAGAAAAATATATATATATATTTGTCTTACTTTGGCCAACTCTTAGGACCATAAATGGTGAATGGTTAACTTTGTTCAAAAGTTAGCCCAGAGACTGCCCAAGGCATACTATGATCTATTTCTCAGACTGTACCCTTTCGATCATATTAAAATTGTCACAACTTTAAAACTGTTATATATGTTTTCTCAGGACAAGAAAAATGTCTGTGATTGAACCTTTGCATACTTTCTAAAGGTCTGTTTAAAATGTGTTAAAATCAATATTGTCTTTTCATTAATAATATGGCCAGTAACAGTTTCGGTGGAGAAGCTCCCAAGCATAAAAACCACTTCTGTAACATTAACCCTTTAAACTACAAAAAATAAATTATAAACATCGGGAAAATGTTTCTTGCAATTCTAGTCTCTAGAGAGATAAACTCTCAGGAAAGCTGAGGGGATTTCTGAAAACAGTAGCCTGATAGAAAGGGAGACATAAATGATTTCTTTTGTAATATGAAGCACGCCTATCAAGTATCCAGAATTTCTGAAGGCCTCATCATACTCTGAAATTGCTGGAGAGTTTTTTGAGAAGAAATTATAAACTCCCATTGTTTCTCTTTCAAATGCTTTGGCCAAGATTTCAAGGACATTCAAAACTACTAGAAAAGGTCTTTAGAGATGGAGTTTCCAGTAAGCATTTGAAGAGGGCTGGAGAGATGTTCATTGGGCTTTCCTGAAGTTAGCCATCCAAAAACCTTGGCAACAGAGCTTATGGGAAGGATTTAAAGCCAGGTTGAGGTTTGGAGGAGGATACTACAGGACCCTAAATATGGTGAAACTGCCATTGGATGGCAGCTGACTGGGGAAAACCATAGTCTGATTTCTGCTCCCTGAGGCTGCCATGTTTCAGGGCTAGTATTCACTGAAGATGATTTTCCAAATACTCTAATAGTGACTGGCTTATAATTACCTTTTACTTTGATTCCACTGCAGTAGCTGAGTGGGGCTCCTGCTTTGGCCAGAAACTGGTTCACAATGCCTACCAAGGGAATCTGAGTTGGGGAAAATTATGAAAGTATACTCAGTCCCTGCACTGACAGTTGAAATGTTTTGTCAGGCAGACCCTGGCTGTGGCTATCACCCTATCAGGCACCTTGCTTAACCCCAGAGCTTGCAGAGTTGGTGACTTTCAGAATTAAATTACCTCTTGTTCCTGTCACCTACTTCGGCAGATGCTTTCCGTCAAAGATTGCATTTGTCTCTTGAATACTACTGCTTTTCTGGTTTTTAAGTCCCTTTGATTCCTAGGAATGTGGACACTTTAGCCTTTTGTAATAAATGTAGCTTCCAAGAGATGTCCACTTTGATCTTAAAAATTGCATTTGCCTTTCTGATAATAAAAGAATGGTTACCCAAGCAGCTATGAACAGTGTATCAGCAATTCCATTATCTCCATAGTCACCTGTATGTGTTCATAAACAGGCAGACGTGCTTTAGGCTAAAACTTGCTTCTCTAGTTGCAAAGCTTTAAGATACACAGAGTGAACGCAGTCTATATAAATATCTCTCTCATGGACTTTCATGCTTCAAGTGGCTTCTACAAGGGGTGTGTGATTTTCTATGGGAGGCGGGGAGAGGAGGCTAAAAAGACAAGAAGAAAGAAAGTGAAGAGGAATATGAAAATGCATCTCAAGCCCCAGGACTTTCCATGCAATATATGTGCAAACTTTATCTTTTTGCAACAAGTTTATCAAATGTCCGAAGGGGCAAGATCTTCATTTTCTCATTTATTCTGCCATTATTGAGTTTCTGGCTGTATTGACTATAATAGCGGGTTTTCTTAATCTGCAAATCCTGTGAAATTAGTGGGGCACGAACAGTAATTATTAATGAACTGAATTGATAATTTCAGGGTATTATACTAATGCATCTGTGTTATTTCTCAAATATTTGGCTTAAGTTACAATGCATATATGGGTCAGGGTATAAACTGCATTCCTCAATATAGGTTACATGGTTGAAAGAGTTCAAAATCTATCAACTTCCTAAAATGGGAATCAAGACCTTCAACAATCTGCCTAGGAGGGGAAAGGGGAACTTGCAGATAACTTGGAACACAAGAAAAGATTTATTTACATTTGCAAAGGGATATGGTTTTCAGACAAACTGCTCCTAGAATATGAGAGAAAACACAATATTCGTAGTTCAAATTCTATAAAATCCACGGATAACAAGAATTTCCTAAAAGCATTACATCATGATATAAGCCATCAGAAAAAGCGAGTACTGCATTTTTTTTTTCAGAAGACAAGAATGTTTTTCAGATGTATTCAATCCAATTAGAATTGTTATTGCCATATGATAATTCGGGCACTTAGTAATGTAAGCTTTTTCTGCATGACAAAACACAATATGCTCCTTTAGTTCATGATGACAAAGAGGAAGATGTTCATTTGCTTTCTGACCACTAACTTACTTCTCCAATCTTATCTCAGGATCTAAAAGTTTAGAAAAGACCAAGAAGAAATTATCTTATACGATTTCCCTTTAATATAAGCAACCACTAGACAATGTCCAAGAAAGGTGACTGGCCTCTTTTTGGACTTGTGAGGAAAGTAGTATTTGCTACCTCAAAAGATGGTACATTCCATTAGACCAATGGACAGAAACTTTTTCCCTTATACTAGGGAATCCGCTTCCCTAATCCCAAATTGTCCTATTTAAGATACAAGGAATGTCTAATTCCTCTTTGTTGATAGAGCTGTTAAAAGGATTTTAAAACAGCTGATATGCTTATTCCTCCAAGGGGGAAAAAAAAGGAACCTCTTTTCCTTTTCTGGGCTCAATACCTCCATGCCTTTCAGGTACTCCACAATCCTGTGAAAGTTCATGCTCATTGATGTAAATGTTCAACATAGGTCAATTCACTTTACTACTGTAGTCTCATCCCCATTTCCCCAACTTGTTCACATGGATAGCATGAAATAGTCCATTTATTGTTATCAGGGACTCAGGCCCTAAGGTATGAGTCTGTCAATCATAGAAATAAAGTTAATTTCTAGGGAATTTGCACTCCTAGATATCATGCTTCCTTTTGCCTAAGTTCTCAAGATCAATTCAGCAGCCCATTCAATTTTCAACTTTGTTGTATTTTCAGAATCCACCTATCTCCTGTCATTGATTTGCAGATAAATTACCTTCATCCGGTCAGTCTTCCTCAGGCAGATCTTCACGATTCCTCAAGGACTTCTAAAACTTGGAGTTTTAGTCATCATGAATGGAACTCCTATATGTGGTCATTAGAGAGGATGCACATTCTCTATTGTCTACCCGTATATATCATCAATTTCCAAAATTTAAAGAATAAGGATATCTACACCTGAGGGGAGAATAACTTTACAGGCTACAAATGCCCATTTATTGTCTCAGAAACCCCTATGTCCACAGACACATCATTTTGAATGCAGTGACTCCTCATCTAGGCCAGTTCCTAACCTAGAAATACCTCAAGGCATGAGCAGTAATGCTCTTAGCAGGGTGTGAGAACAGCTGAGATCTACTTGGTGCTCTGCTCAGAAGACCATGGAGTCAGGTTTGTGTTGACTAGCAGGAAGAAGAAGGGGTTCTTTCAACTTTGGTGGGCACAAAAGCTTCACTTTATTAATACAAAGAAGAGAACAATTGACAATGAAGTTACTTGTTGCCTGGAGTAAACAACTAGTTTTGTCAGATTTTAAGGATTGCCTTGATTAACATTCAAAATGTTAACATATCCCTTGGGTAAATTCCAATGGGGATTTAGTAGCACCTTAGTTTACTCAGAATTTGAAAGTAAAGATAATCTCTTTTACTCAAAGCTTTTTCCACGTGGGTTTTGATCAAATATTGGTCACCCTGAATTGAATCAAAATTAGTAAGGAATAAAACTGTCTCCCCATGGAAAAAGGAACTGGTCAAATCATGAACTTACTATATAGGATGTAAAGAAAGAAAAGGTGACTTCAAAGGTCTTCTCCACTTTCATCTTGCGAATTGAATCTGATATTGCTCATTTTCCCTTTTTTTCTGTTCAGCCCTTATTGGGCCACTTTAACAGGTGGCCATCTGTTTGGTTGCGTAGGAGAATGTTCTTTCACTCTACTTCTCAAGCTAAATCAATATTCTCATGAATTTTGCTGTGATCTCCAAGTGCATGCTTCCACACTTTGCCCCCTTTCCTCAAAAACTCAAATTGATGCCCACAATCTACCACAGGCCTCAACATCCAAACAGATAATTCTCTATGAATGAGGTTTTAAAATTGTACTCTCAAACTTTTAAGGGGATTAGGTTGAAAAATACATTCATCAATTTAGTCTAGTGATGAATT